AGATGCAGGGACTCACTGAGTGCACTATCCTCTCCCAGACTGTGTGTGTGTGTGTGTGTGTGTCAGATTTTCACCATGCATGTGTAAAGGGTCACTGACTGTAACTGAATGCAAAAAAAAAGAAGACAAAGTATATGCTTCTTTATTTCTCGTTCACCCTCCTTCCTCACACAGCCTAACCCACCTAAACTTAACCAACACCCACAAACCCTTCCCGTCTAGTCCCTTCTTTCCGTGCTCCCCCATCCCTCATCCTCTTAGGGGAGCACGGGAGCATGCAGTGGAAAAAACTGAGCCAATAAAGACACTGCCAGAATCCATCCACTCTCTGCGCCTCACATAGTTACTGAGGGAGAGAAAGAGTGGTGGGGTTGTTGGAGAGGGGAATAAGGGGGAGGGGAAGAGACAGAAAAGTCCACCTCTAACTACAGCTATGGATGAAGGAGCTGCTGGAGGATAGGACGCAGGAGGCGTGGGCTTGGGAGAAGATGAATGGGGGAGGATGGAATAGAAGGGCAGAATTGAATGAAGATGGAGAGACTTGGAAAGTGGAAAGATAGCTTTGGTAAGGAACATGAGGACACACATATGGACCCCCTCCCTCCATTGATGCCTCTTCCTTACCCAGGGGTACCTGTGACGGAGAGTCTGGCTGGTCTTGGAGTACCCCCTAGAGGGCTTTGCAACAGGTGCAGTCCTTTTCAGCCTCGCAGCAAAAACTTGAGACTTTTATGTTTGTTAGCGACAGAAAGCTCAAGAGTCCTCATCCGTAATCAGACTGAATTGCCTTTCCGCTCATTTTTAATTAGAAGGACTTGAGAGAGCTTAAATTGCGAGGACCTACTTTAATTTTGAAAGTGAAGTCCTAAGAGCAAATATGGAACAGGTGCATTAAAAAAGAAGGGCAGAGCATAGTTAAGGTTGAACAGAAGGTGAGGCGAAACTTCGAGTGCTGACAGAATAAAGCCGGTTAGAGCAAGGCCTCACATCTCGTAAATCATGGAACGTTTTCAGACCACCATACGATGCCGGTTGACTAGCTCATTGATCCTCCTTTTCAAAGATGCTCCCCTGCTGAGGGCTGGAAGTCGGCCAATACCACCCACCCCACACAGTGTGTGTGATTGTAATGGTCCACACTATCACATACACACACCAAGCTTGTAAAGGTTGGACCAGTCTAACCAGGCCATATTCAGAAGGCCTGTGTTCCCTTTCAGTTTGTTAAACAACAGCACAGACTGATTCGAGATGAGGCCAGTTTCATCACAACTCATACCTCCCCCAAGGCTCTGAATTTCTATGATGATATCTCAGTCGTCGATTCTTCACGGCAATCTTTTATTTTGTTTTACTGTTTTGTGTTTCTCTTTTTTTATAATGAAGCATTTATGATCGTGTCTCTCAGGGTTGTCATCACAATTTAGTCCCACCAGGCGGGGATATGAATGGCTCATATGCATGTGAACTGGAGCATTTACATCAATTCTCATTGAAACTGTAGTCGCATGCCGCTGTGTGGCCTGATTTCCTTGTACGCATAGAAGAGCTGTGAAGAATTGGAAGAGAAGACAAATCTGTTACCCGTATGTAGTTCTCAGGAGGCCTCTGAAACAGAAGCCTTTCATGTATAATACAGAGACCTTCAAAATAATTGCATCTTTCTTGTCAGTCCTTTTTTTTTCTCCCTCTCACACACAAACCCAGCTTTGAAGGAAAGGTCTAGTAATTATTATATGCAATTTTCCTCTACATTGGCAAGCTTTGAACAGAGCACCATAAAGCAGAAAACTTTGGCAGACAGATTTATCTCTGCTTCATAATCAATGGCATTTATTGATGATGACAAAGTGGATCAGGCAAATAGCTACAAGTCGATTATGATGAAAGGGTGTTTGTGAAGTGCATCTGAGACAGTGTTTGTGTGTGTGTGTGTGTGTGTGTGTGTGTGAGGGGGACATCACACAGTAGGTGCTTCTGATAACTGTACCTTTGGCAGTCTTGGAGATGGATTCAAGGGGCTTTTTTTGGAGATGGATGGATTCTAAATGATTTTTAATTGTACCTTTAATTGACAGGAGAGGGAGGGGATGACATGCAGCAAAGGGCCACAGGTCGGACTCGAACACATCTCTGTTGCAGCAAGGACTCAGTCCTGGAACATAGGGTGCCAGCTCCACCAGGTGAGCTACCAGGGTGCCCCATGATTCTGTATGATTGAACTTTTAATATATTGAGGCAAAGAAACCCTGTAAAAAATGTGAATCTTATAATGATACCTAATTCTGACAGCCTTTTAGCATTGGTATACAGTATTTTACTTTGAAAAACCATGAGTTTAAATTGTGGTGGTTTGAATTCTCATCTCTGAGTTTTACAGTAGCTAACTTCAAGTTGTACAGTTTCAATAAAACTTGATACTAAGTCTTTGTTGTAGGGTTCACAAATTCAGACTAGATTCAACCAACACTGAGAGTCTACAGACATGCCATGCTAATGGCTCAGTAAGGTGGGTCATGGTTGGGGGCCTTGCTTGCTTACACTCATCATTGGTAGTGATTGATAAAAATTGTGGGGAGGTGGGGCATGATTGTTTTTGGCTTCGGAAGGGTGGCATGTCAGATGAAGTTTAGGAACAGTGGTGCTTTGAACTAAATGCTAAAATGTCCACATTGACAGTTTTGCAGGTATTTCATTATAAACCAGTAAGTATTGCACAAATTTAGGGCAATCTATCAAACAGTCCAATTTCACTCTAAACAACAAATATGACCTCATGGAGACGCTAGAGAAAAATTAATCACTAAATCAAAAAGATGGATCATTTGGGAACCGTGTCTGTACAAATTTCTACAGAAGTGAATACTATATTCAAGTGTCTTAAATTCAGTTCAAGTTATTTCCAACTTCTTGGCTGCCAAGGATAAGTGACTGACCTCTGTCTTACTTTGTGTCAGTCCTTAATATCCAAGAAAGACATGTTCAAATGAGCAAATTCACTTCCGAATTTGTTAACTGTCAAAATCAAAATTTTGACTTTGCACTTGACATGCTGTACTTGAAATGCAAAGAGGAAAATTTAAACCACATAAATTCAAATAGATTTTCTTTTAAAGCAAACTATTTAACTGCTATTATTTCAGTGTTAAATCAAGTTTTTAGTAGTGAGTGCATTTGAAAAAGAAGGTGTTCAGTTGCTCAGAAAATTCTAATTATTACAACCTTTCTTTGCTTCCATATTATTGTGCTACCAGCACATACACCGATCAGCCATAACATTATAGTCATGCAGCCCCATACGCAACAAACTGCGATACACTGTTTCCATCAGAACCGTGCAAGCGAAGGTTGGTCCGTGTGGTCCGATCCAACAGACGAGCTACTGTAGCTTTAACCATCACAATTTGGCCCTTGTAAAAGTTGCTCAAATCCTCACGCTTTTCCTGCTTCTAACACATCAACCTGAGGACAAAATGTTCACTTGCTGCCTAATATATCCCACAAACTGACAGGTGATATTGTAACCAGATAATCAGTATTATTCACTTTAGTAAATGGTAAATTCAGATTTCAGGATTCAGATTCCCAGAAATACTTTAATTAATCCCAGAGGCGGGAAATTTATTTTTTCGTTACACACTCCAGATTATACAAATGACATATTTAAAAACAACATATTAATATATATATATATATATATATATTAATATTACAACAAATTCCAAACACAAAAAATATAAATATATACATATGTAAAATATATTATTATATATATACAGATCAAATAATACCCAGTGATTTAATGATATTGTGCAAAAGAAGTGCCAAAAGATGAATGAATGGCAATAATTTAGAGGTCAAGAATTAATGTTATGACTGAGTGTATATAAAAGACCATGCACACACACACACAACACACACCACACAAACACACACCTTCCAGGACCCGAAAACAAGCTTTCCCTTCCAACCTACTGGTTTTAGTTCAAAAAAGGTCACATCCGGGGTTGAACATGCGAAGTTCAAGAGGCTGCAGTTATAGGCCAAAAAAAAAAAAGCCTGCCCAAAAGTCCATTTGAATGAAAGCATAAATTCTTGTTCTCCTTCTTGGCAACATGGGCTGGAATGCAACCCAAGTTGTTTATTGAGCCTCCTCCCTCTTGTTAATGGGGGCCTATTTAACACTTTCTGAGTAGAGGGGTTAAAAAGCTTAAATGAGAAGGGAAAGATAATGGCGTGGGTTAGAGAAAGTTGACCATTCTGAGCAAAGGAACAGAAAATATAATATCTTATAAAGAATTGGGAGACCGCTCCTCAGTACCATTCAAGCCACGGCGGTGGGGGGAGCACTTCCATAAATCAAATGCCAAAGTGAATATTTTTTCCCCTCCTGAACTATTTTACTTACTTGACAAATAAAGGTGGAATTAATGTGGCCTATTAAGACGAGTTGTTTCTGAATGGTCAGGGGCTGCACCGAGGTGGCCAAACTTGTATGGGAAAATTGAGTGCAATAAACCCCCAGGGTGATAAAACAATATGGAAGGCCCGTGGACCTGGCCGTCAATCAAAGGTAAGTTGATAAGTAAGTTCCATAATTTTAATGGAGTAAAATTCTTCTCAATAATGCACCAGCCTTTGCTGCCATTTATCCCTATTTTCTTTGGGCTTTAAATACTGTGCTTTTTTAACGCCCGGCCAGAATGGAAGCAAGTCTTCCTTACCCCTCCAAGGTAAGCCATGGAATCAAACCAGTGAGAATGAGGCAGGGGGGGGGGGGGGATAAGGTGGTGATGGTGATGGTAGGGGGGGGTAGAGGGCAAAGAGAGAGCATAGAGGGCCTGGGAGAGCCTGGTGGAGAGATTAGAGAGATGCCCCAGGCTCGTTTTCCAGCGCTGTGGACAAGGTGATGTCACTGCACGTTTCAGTGGGGGATCTCCCATAGAGAGAGAGAGAGAGAGAGAAGAAGGGGGAAACAGAGGACAGAGACAGAGAGAGAGATACGAACGCTGAGAAAAAGTAAGGGAGAAAGGGAGAGAGAAAGAGAGAGAGACCTGGGATTTAGACTGTGCAGCAGCGGGAGAGAGAGAGAGAGAGAAAGAGAGAGAGAGGGGAGGGGAAAAGTTGGACACAGACAATCTTGCAGTAACTTTTTTCTTCTTTCTTTTTTTCGTGGAAGAAGCTTCAAGAAAGAAAAAAAGAAAGTCAAGAGGGACAATACCACACTGGAGTCTACATTGAATTTGCATTCCCAGTCTGCTCCCCGGATACATAACGCGCATTCATTGACGGATTAATGTGGTCGCGAATTTGTGGATTTATCATTAGTTGAAGGTATGGCTTTTTATGGACTATTATGGACGTGTTCGCGATGCTTGAGAGCTAGAGAAGCGTTTGTTTTCGAGCGTCGAAACGTCGCAGTAAAGGCAGCGGATGCAAGAGTGCAGTGTGTAAAGTGACTGTAGTGAAACTTTATGGTGAAAGTTTTGCAGTAGGTTTATAATGCAATGGGCTAAGACTGCTGTGCATCACATGGGAATATCACAGTTCAGCAGATGATCAAATAAATACCACAAACTCACTCACCAGTGAGCATAAAAGATACTATAGGGTTATCATAGTGATATTTACAATTATATATATTTTTAAAAGAAATGAGTTTAGGAGATAAAATACTTTAAAATATAAGCATAATAAACTTACTTTATCCCAGTGGAGATCATTAAGAGTTATTATGCTGAGTAGCTCTGCCACATAGTAGTATTGTTGTATTTCTTTACTGGGTTTTACAACAAACTTTTAAACCACAAGTAGCCAAGCTGCTGGCAAAAGTGATGCTGATTTTCCCTCCGTATCCAGGCCAGGCCTTAATACAACACATTATGGGCTGAGTTGTTACTGTAAATCTTTGTGGCTAGCGTCCAACGCCTGTGGCATGGAAAAGCCTCTGTGTTTGGATCTGCTACATGCATATCATTCAGGCTTAGTAATGTCTGAGCACAGCACCGCACCGATTTTAAGCTCCAAAATTCGAAATTCTCTCCCCTACCTGGAGGAGAAAGAATTGTGTGCTGGGGAGGAAGCTTGGGTCCCACAGTCACATCTGTTTTCCTCATGACTCAGCCATCCCATGTTTGCTGGCTTTCGCATCCTGTCTGTGAACCCCGCAAAAAAAGCCCAGGGGTTCTTCCAGAGTTTTCTGTGACCCTACCTCCCCCGCCCCCCCTGCAAAATGAGGAACAGCTCAGTGATGCATGTGTTTAATTCATCACAGAGCTTCCTCTTGAGAGTAACTACGATTTATTTCTCTGATTAGAGGTGGCATTCTTGGGTCATTTCAACAAAAACACAAGGACCCTGGACATTAAAAAACTTGGAAACCCTTGGATATTTCCCCCTGTAGTAACCGTTTCTACTCCCTGGGGAATGTAGCTCTGTAAGCGTTACAAATTGATATCCTTGAATTTCACTATGTGATAAGTGTTAACCTGTTGCAGGCGGCAACTCTAGCCTGTGCTGCGGGCCTGCAGCAAAGTGTATCATCACTCTTTGCTTATTCCGGTCAGCAGTGATGTGAACAAAGAGCGATCAGAAACATAAAGCAAAGCTGGAGAAAGGCAGCAGGTCATCTGCCTGCTGAAGGATGACTCAACCCTGCGTAGCATGGGCCCAAAGCCAACCAGCTCATGTCGTCAGAGCAGGCATCACTTTACATCATTATAGTTTGTAGGTGGACCAAAAGCGTCCATGGCAGTGCAGCTTTGCGGCAGCCCTGAGCAGAGGGAGGGTTTATATGTTTTCTGTGCTGGCCTGTCCCTCATTCACAAATATTCAAGTAAAGGCCCTGGACGCTGCCCAGAATGTAAGACTAGTAAAAACTTGCCTCAGTCTCTAATGAGTGTCATACAGATTTGGATTCTGCCTTCTCAGTTTGCAAGTTTCTGTTGCTCCCGGTCAGTGGATATCTAGAGTGTCTATCAAAGCCTCAGGGCATCTTTAGTTACTTTTATTCACTCCTTGTTCCCCGCCGTAACAGGCCTGCAATGCGCTTTCAGGTTTGGTCTGAAGCACATTCCAGCAGCTAAAAGTATACGTGTACATGTTGTCGTGTTCATGATAACATATCCGAATTACAGTAGTAAGTAAGGAGTATCTTCTGACTGTCAAAAAGCATTCTGCAGAAATGCTCACATACCTCCTATCTGGCAAAAAGAACTCCAGGAGTGTCTGAAAAGTTGGCAGCATATTGACTGCTAGCAGCATGGCTGTTTGGATGGCAATGTTGGTCTGTCAGTCAGTCGGTACAACACTTTAGTCCAGACTGAAATATCTCAACAACTGTCTGATGGATTGCCATGGGATTTTGTACAGAGACTGACCTACGATAACCTTCTTCTAAAGCGCCAACAGCAGGTCAAAGGTGGAATTTTGGAGCCTGAAATTCGCCGATCCAATTTGAGAACCTTGATTTTTTTTTAACTGGACCTAGTTTTTTAGAATCCAAATTGAATTCAAGTAACTTGAATACAGTTTTCTGACAGACAATCTGTCAGGCTCCAGGAGGATGGGTTTCTGCTCCCTTTATTTTTTCTCTAGCATTACTATGAGGTTCACAATTTTGGTTTTGAGTTACCTCAACAGGTATTGGATGGATTGCCATGAAATTTGGAACAGACATTTTGCTTCCCTCAGGATAATTTGTATTTGAAAATTTTGGTGAACTTTTCATCCAGTGTCAAAATTTCTACTACTCATGACATGTCCATGCAGTGCACAAAACAAGCGTACTCTTTACTTATCTAGCACATTCACAGTTGGCACGCTTGTAGTGTGGATGGTAGACACAAGTGATGATGAAATTTACTTCACGCAGACCCTCACTCGTTTCAAGATTACTTATTCTTTGTGTGGTCTCAGAGCTGTAAACTGTCCAACAATCATTTCAATTCTATCACAATAGGAAGCAATCCTACTCACAACAATTGACTTTATGATTGTCTTCTTAGATGTTTGCCTCTGCTACTCCCATAGTGCATTGTGTAAAAATGGCTTGTGTCACTGTATGTCAGCATTGCAAAAACATCTGTTCATCTGACAGACTTCACTGTCACGTTCTGTATTTCTGACCACATCTTTGTATCTCTGACCGTTTTACCTTCTGTAGCACCGGTGCTGTCATGTCACTGTATATGAATGTGTCCGTCTGTCAATGCATGTATGCATGCCTCTACCTACATATTGTGCATGCTTACTGTATTAGGATTGCATTCTAGTCAAATTTTAATGCTCTTACCTCCACATCCTCTGCCGAGAAGACTTTCTCTGGAGGATTCAGTAAGGGTCACAACCTCACAGACAGATCAGGGGATTGTTTTCACAGCCCAGCACCACTACTACTCTACTCTTAGTCTACTCTTGACTGTGTGTGTTTGTATGCGTGAGATAGATTGGAAGCAGATACGCTGCGAGTGAGCTGTCCATCAATCTTCTTGCTGCAGTGTACTGCCGGGAGAGACAGCTGGAAAGGCAGTGAACCCTGAAATATCACATGACACATTTATGCCGGGTTCTCCCGCTTAAACAGATGCAGAGTAGTCTAAACAGTGGGCTACTGGTTCACTGTTATTTAATCATCCATGTCTGGGTTGCTAATAAGCAATTGTCTTGTCGGGCCATAGAGAGGACATGTTTCATTTAACTCTGTCAGAGTGTATTCCTCTAAATATGCTTGTGTTGGGGCTGTTGTTTAATCTATAAGCGGTGGCAATGATGATGAAATGTGTGACAACAAAAATTGCTATGCACTGAGAACAAAATTACCTCCATTGTTATATAGGACAGTCTCACTTTTGTTCGTGTATTCAAGCCATAAAAAGTACTGGAACTGATGGCTGTACTGAAAATAGAAAATAGGCAATAGGTCTGGAACCGAACCGAAATGACTGCTTAGCAGCTCTGCATCTTCAAGGGAGACACATTGTCATAAAAAACATCGGTGTTGGTCAGCACTTCTATCCAGCTCTGGTCTTCAGGCTTGTAGTGCTGGAAGATGTTCAAATATGTCATTGTTTTCCTTCCTGTATTGGCTTCGTACTCAGTGACCCGATCACTCGCAGGCCTGCTTACTGGGCTCACGGCCAGCCCAGCGGCCAAGCCCAGTGGCCTAGCCCCGTACTGCCTTTATCTGCTTTAGCCAGCTGGGTGTCCGTGAAGCTGCAGATGGAGTGCAAAGAGAGAAGGAGAAAGAGAGGCATCCATGGCAACACATATTAGGAAGCCTATTAAATTGTTTTGGATTATGGCCAGACAATAATAGCAATGAGCTGTAACTTTTCCTTGAGCCTGTGTTCTCTGGACTGTGATGCATTATGTATTATGTACTATGTGAACTTTCTTATTATTGTGATCATGTGGCATGAAGCCTATAATAATGGATGCAGCTCCAGAGTGCTCAAACTCAGCCGTCTAAGGCTTTGATTAACCTTCCACCCATCCAACTGCAGGGGAAAACTTTTTTATTTCTTTTTAACTATTCTTCTTGCAGCTACTTTTACATAAAACGTGTTCAACAGTTGTTCACATAATAAAGCATGATTATATGGTATCTTGCAAAGATCTTGCTGTTTTGGTAAAAATGGTAAGCTGGTCTTTTAAAATGTAAAAAAACAAGGGAAGCAACCACACCTCGCGTCAGCAGCCCCCAAAATTGAATGCATAATTCACAATGTGGGGCATGTCAAGCTGTCCTTGTTATTTCAGAACATAATTTGAAACATTGTCCTCCACCACATTGTCTGTTAGCAGCCCGCTGCCAGGTCAGGCTAGATGGTATTCACACCATGTCCTCGGCCGGGCTGGAGCGCCACATTGTGCGCCCCCGGGGGAGTGTGGGGGTCATTTCTCCTGGCAGACGGGACAGGTGTGTGTATAGAGACACAGTCTGCTCGTCTGCCTACCTTGAGGGCCCTGCTGTACCTGTAAACACTGCAGAGTTATGGGGTCCTCATACATGCTGAGGGCAAGTCCAGGTCAGCTGAGATGTGTTTATGCGAGTCAGAGTGGGCGGCACTGGGGTGTGTTTATGCGTGTGCATTCTTGTGTGTGTTTATGAATATGGAGTTGTAAGAGAGAGGGACTGAGGAGACTGAGTATAATGATTATTTTGACGTGGCACACATTTTAATCTGTGCAAGATTGTGTGTGTGTGTGCTTGTTGTGGGGCCACGTGGAAGCATCTGGTGCAACACAACCATGGCTCCAGTGGAATAGTCTCCAGATGTGTTTGTGTGTTTTGGACCCACTGTCTGTTTAACTCTGGACCAAAGAGCCTGCATGAAAATTATCTGCATCCTGCATTTTGCTTTGTTGTCTTGCATTTATGTATTAGGTATTTGTTTGCATCCATATGTGTACTTTTTTTTTACTTTAAGAATCATTTCCTAGATACGGTTCTGTGTGTTTGCGTGTGTTCATGCACTTAAGTGTCCTTTCTCAGTAATATTTACGTGTGTGTGTTTGTGTGCTGTGTTTGTGTAACAGCTGCCAAGTCAAAGGCCAACCAGATGGACAGGATAATGACTATGATCAGACTTTATAGAGTTACACTCCTTAATGAGGGACATTCTGGTTAATTCATATGCCACTAACAAAGCCTGCATCATACCACAAAATTAACACATCAACTCTGACTGACTCATAAATATACATCAACATCTATTTAGGAGTCAAGCATAATGTGCAGCTGTCGGCAGAGTGAGCCGACTGGGTGGCATGCTGACAGAATCTGGGAAGGATTTGACTTTTTTGACTTTCTCTTTTTTTCTGTTTGTTTATCCGTCAAGAGGTGGCTGAGGTGAGGTGAGGTGATTTCGGAGGAGTGAAACCATGTGGCTTCTCTGCTCCTCTCTGACTCTGTTGGCTCTCAGCTTTGGATCATGTGACACGCTGACATCAGAGCAAGGTGAGTTTCCTCATCCCTGCTGGGGTTTTCAGAAATGTAAATTGCAGTAGTTGAAATGCATGGTAATAAAATGTGATATTCAAAACAAACTAAATCATAAAATAAACAATAAAAAAAAGAAATAGAATATAACATTCATAAGTGTTGTGTTTTTGTTACATTAGAATGAGCTGATTGTATATACAAAAGGAGCGAGTCCACCATGTAGAACCGCCATTTTTCTGCAGTAGCCCAGAACCAAACTCTGGCTCTAGATAGGGCCTCTTGCATTTTTCGCCACCGTTTTGTGGCCACCGTAGTTTTTCCTACGCGCTTGGAAGGGGAGCGATATTCAGTTGGTTAATCTGCAACTTCACCGCTAGATGGCAGCAAATCCTACGCACTGATCTTTCAAATATAAGGCTACAGCCAGCTGTCAGCCAGCGTAGCCTAGCATGAAAACTGGAAACAGGGTAAAACAGGTAGCCTGGCTCTGTAATAAAATCTGCCCACAAGCACCTCTAAAGCTTACTATGTCTTTGTGCCTAAAAATAATCTGGCACAAAAACCCACATAAAAACAAAAACTTGTTATCACTTTGTTTTTTGTATGGATTAAACAAATGGGATATAACATGTTACCTAGGGAGCTTTAGAGATGCTGGTAGTCAGATTTTGTTACCATCAAGCACAACCCAGGGTCACTGTTTATCTCCATTCCAGGCTTCATGCTAACGTAAACTAATTAGCTGCTGGCTGTAGATTAATATTTACAAACCGCAGTACTATCAATCTTTGCGTTTAACATGCGCATATTCCCCAAAAATATTGAACTACAGCTCAGTAAGAATTAAAATAAGATAAAAAACCAGATTAAGGTGAACACTTACTTTAAACTGGATGTAAGAAATGAAATCACTGCAGTACATTTATAGCGACGTGGCGTTTGATTAAACTGTATTTATCCAACATTACTGCTGCCTTCAACTGAAGCTATGAATAAAAAATGTTAAATAGTAAAGGCCACAACTGACAAATTGCTCTCAACCAATTGCTTCTCAGAAAAGTCCTATATTTCTTCATTTAAATGCTAAAAAAGAGTCACGAAACCATTCTAACATTTATAACTGAGACTTTTTTTTTCAAATGGGTTTCAACTGGAGTTGTATGCTAGACTAACTCGTGACGATTTGAAACCCATCTGAGTTTGGAACTGTGTCCGTCTATGTGTGTGTGTGTGTGTGTGTGTGTGCCCTGAATGTGCGATGGGGCCCAAGGCTACAATGAAGACTGTAATTACAGCTTATGTGCGTTTGAGGCTGGTGGCTGTTGGTGGCAGTATGGTTAGGCTGTGGCAAGGACGCGTGTGTGTTTACCATGTGCGGTTGTGTTTCTCTTCATGAGCCATCAGTCATTCTAAGTTTCTGAGTTTCTTAAGATTTTGAGTGTCTTCATGTGCTTATATAAGATATAGGAATTGTTAAAATGCTAGTTTATCTATTTGTCGGTGGGTTACAGACTGTGCATGTGTACCTATTTGTATCCAGGTATATGTATTTGTGTGACAGAAACAGAAAACCAAGAAATCCAGAGGCAGAGAGGTGAAGAGAATTTTTGTTGTAGTCTTGTTTTATTTATTTATTTCCTTCTGAACTGTCACCCTCATCACACTGTCAGTGTCTCAGTCTCAGGGGCCGACTCTGTGACATCACTCGGGGGGCCGAGGAATCCTCTATAGCTCGTGGAGTTCTGAAGGGAGCTTTGTGGAGGCGGGGGTCCCTCCTGGGAGACCCTAGTCAGAGCTTTTCAGATGCAACTGAGTCAGCTTGCAGCTCCCCTGAGTCATTCCCCCCAGTGGTTGGAAGAAAGTGCTTTCCCAAGTGCAGCTATAACACTTTGTCACAGCAAGCACCACACATACGCACAGACACACACACACACTCTCATTCTCACGCTATGACTATTTCTCTGACTCATCCAAATCTCTACTTGCTGGTAATTTGCTGACATTACAGCAGGAAGGCAGGTTTAAGTAAAACTAGTGTTGAGGAGTCGAGCTGGATGATTGCACTGCAGTTCTGCAGTGTATCAGCCAGAGAGACTAGTCCCCATAGTTAAATTAAATTGCTGAAATTCCCTGTCTTTGGTAAAGTGTTGCTGATATGGGTTTTTTTGTGCGCCACAGATCCTATGCAGTCTGAAGTAATGGATTTATGTATTGATTTGTTTTGACTGCAGTTTCCTTCTGTCTGTGTTTGAGCTAAGTTGTATGTTTTCTGGTGCCAATGAATTGTAGTGGTAATAAGCTTATTTGCACAGAAACAGAAGTTAGAGGAGACAAGCAGCTTGCAGCAATAAGAGATATAAATTACTGTACAGTGCCTGCATAGGGGAATAAAAGTTATTTTCTTTTTTGTGGTTAGGATGATAAATGATAACTGATTATATACAGTAGTCCCTTACTTATAATCCTTATAAGTAAGTAATAAGTAAAGTATTTCTCCATATACAGTTAACTTCCTATGTAAGTAAAATGAAAAGCGATATTAAAATACCATTAAGGGGCTTTTTTTTTAACTTTCCTTAATACAATGCAGTGCCTGTGGAAACAGGATTTTAGGATGGGACATCATGGCCTACTAAAATTAATATGGCAATCATGTTAGCAAACACCTAATCACACACAATATTTTCAATATTCAATCTCATTTTAGTTCAGTTTTGGTCTCTACCAGTTCCTGTGAAAACTCTGTTTCTTAAGCCGCTCCACTTTCTTCCCCAACTAGTCACTAACTTTGTCTGTCTGCCATTTGGTGCTGGGCACAGTGTACAGTGAAAGGTCTTTTTAGCTGAAAGCAGCTGCTTACTGCTGCTGGAAACAAGGTAATGAGAGCAGTGAAACTGAACCAAAACAGTGAAGGTGCATGTCAGAAAAACCAAAACAATGCTGGCAGGAACTGCAGAGTCAGGATATAATTTAAGGTTTGCTGTCACCATGAGTGACCCCCTACTCACGTTACATGAAGAGTAGTCATTTGATCCTTTGTTAATATAACAAATATTGAGATGTGCCGTTTTAATCTTATATTTCATAGTGTCTCGAAAGTGATTTCATTAACCATGGGATAATATTTGTATTTTAGAGAATTTGACGCAGACACTTAGCCAGAAGTTAAGAAGCAATAATTGCTCCATCTCCACTGCTAATGGGCAGTGTTTAGGGCAGATGGGTATCCTTCAGTGTGTGACTAGGCCAGTTTGTATAACAGTCTTTGTCTGAACATTACTGTCAAGAAATGAACTTGAGTAAAATACTTAAACTTGTGACTGCTTCAGGGTTGCTGCTTCATGAATCGACATGTCCTGTGCTGTCTACTTGCTACAGACAGAAAAATTGCACTGGCAAATTCTTCAGGACATCGTACAAAAAAAATAATGAGCTAGCCATTGACTCAGTAAAGTAATATTGAGTCACTTCTCAATACTGCACAGTGCATAAAAATGACAAGTGAGTTGACGTATAGGCAACCAGTTTCCTTTCTCTGTATGTACATCTGTAGTTTGCACGAACTCACAGGATGCCAAACATTGTGTCATACAACATGCTCTCGTTTGAGCCGTTACAGACTTCTGCATGTCCTGTCTAAGTTTATTGTTGTGAGAAGCTTGTAAATTTGTGTGTGTCACAAGTCCAGTCTATGTGTGTGAGAACTTGTGAGAGTGTACTGAATCTGGGCCAGAGGCCTACAAGGGGAAAATGAGTGAGCTCATCCCTCTGAAGTGCAGTGTTTTAAGTCTTTCCACTCCTCTGTGCTGCAATTTTATCTCTGGAAAACAACCAGGAATGCTCTCGTCTGCCTCATTTGGCAGAGAGGGCAAGTGAGACACACACTCTTCCTCTGTCTCAATCCCTCTTTCTTTTTTATCTCTAGTTCGTCATTTTCTCCTTCATGTGAGCCACACATTGGCTGCATTTAATTATTGTGTTGAATCATCAACTACATTACCCAGCATACCCTTTCCTCCCCACACGTTGCATGTGTGTTAATAGCTCCGGGAGTTGCAGGACTCTCTGAGTCTGACTTTCTGCTGATCAGTGGCCCAGTCCAATTATCTTGGAATGCCACATTGTACATTCAATAACTACCATACCCTCTCTTATTACAACCCACACACCACACACTCTGACACTGTGAGCACACTTCTGACCTGTTCTCCCTAATGAAAGCACTCTGCCAAGTGTTTGCTGCTACGAAAACAGAATTAAAACTCAGAGGCAGTTGGTTTCAGTAGACCCTGGCCACAACAAGGCGCTGGTAGATAAGTCCATTGATTCCTAAGCCCTCTGAAGGTTGTTAAATACCAGTCACAAAGTAAGAAAGGTCACACATTACTTATTTCAGCTGGGATATTGCAGTGGGTCAGCTAGAGTTGAGTTGACACTGTTCATCTACATTGCTCTTTGTCATGATGAAAGCCCGAGTGGTAAATCTTTGTCTATATGGCCTAAGGGCAAGTTATATTTGAGTTTCCTAACTTTCTGTATATGGATGCATTTGCAATTATCAGATCATCCAGGTTTGTCCTTATCTGACACCTTTTACTTGTACACCATCCAAGTTAAGTGTAAGTCTGTACACATCAAAAAGTAGTGCTTCACTTCTCTAAAGACCTAAAATGTCCTGAATTTTTATCTTTGGCAAGGTAGAGACCTAGGGGAACACTCACAGCAGTGTGCTGCATGACTGCCAGTGTAGTATCATTACCTGCTTTGGCAAGACTCAAACGCAACCCATCAAAGAGGAAGTGAACCCAGCCAAGACCATCCAATCTCTTTAAGGCTACATGCAGCTACTAGCAGGATCCTGGAGTGGCACTCATACTATGTGCTAATTAGCTTGTCAACAAGCAAATGTTTTCCTTTGATCACAGCTTGAGAGGAAATGGGGTTCAACTTCCGCAGTGTACCCTCTGCCAAACTGCCAAAGTGCCTGAGTACGCAACAGTCCACTAAAATATCAT